GACTCATCGAGTAGAGACGGGATGATCATGCAAATTGAGTTGGCCACTCGACGAGTCCATACGCTGGGACTCAGCGAGTCCGCCTGTCTGGATGAAGCCCTAATTTTAAGGGTTTGCACCCGTTTTAAACACATTAATGCGCCCAAACCTCGCCTCCATCACCCTTAGAGCATCCTTTACCGAACCGTATCCCCCTTAAAGAGTGTGTGAGTGAGTGTTACTTTGTGAAGGAACTATTGGAGCAAGTAGAAGAAGGAGAAGGTTGAAGAGTTCAAGGAAGAGGAAGTAGATCCAAAACATACTCATTTGTGGTCATCTTTTCTGGTAATAAATTCTCCATCTTGCTTATTGATCTAGTAGATCTTGTTTTTCCCTAAATTGTTGCTTTTAAGCCCAAAAACCCCAAATACTTTGTGATAAAGCCTTATAATCGTGTTATACTTTAGATCTGGACCCTCATTGCATTCTAGAACTGTAAAGTTTCAGTGGTGGTCAGGATTGAGGTCCCTCTTGAGCTTGGAACTCCATTAAGAGCCTACATTTGGCATTTGAAGCCTTTAAAGCCATGCATGCACATAAAGTTTGCAATTTTACGTGATAAGCTTGCCCTAGAAGCTTGGATCTGTGATTTGGAGCCGTTGCATGGCTCAAAGCAAGTCTGTATGGAAAAAGGACTGAATGGACTCAGCGAGTTGCAAGGTTGACTCGGAAAGTCATATGAAGATAGCCGTGGATTCGATGATTTGAATGAGCAACTCAGCGACTCCGATGAAGATTGCCTTAGAGTCGACGAGTTGTTCATACAACTTGGCGAGTCGGATGAGTTTTCCTGATTAAAGTAGATTTTGAGTGAAATAGCTTCATTCCTTCTTAGTTACACGTAAAGTTAGCAATTTTATGTGTCCAGATGGGCCCAGGAGCTTAGATATACGAGTTAGATGCTCTGGGATGGATTAGAATCGATTGTATGAAATTTGCACGTTAGGATTCGGCGAGTTGTTCTTCGGACTCGACAAGTCGATTCGTGAGTCCCCCGTCTTTCTTTGATTTGTGAGTTGAGGGTGAATTAGTGAGTGGGGAAGCGACTCGGTGAGTTAAAGTCAAAATTAGTAATGGAGGGACTCGGTGAGTCTGTGCCCTGACTCGGTGCGTCCGTTCAACTGAAAGTTGACTTTGACCAAGGGTAAAACTGTCATTTTAACCTGAGGGAATTTATAAGTACATGATCTAGTGTTTTTGGGATTTGTAGTGGGACAGTTCCGGACCAGCAGTCAGCCACTTTTAGAGTTAGCATCTCAGCAGCCAGCATTACGAGGTGAGTTTCCCTTCCAGTAGGAACGGGTCTACGGCCACAATGCCGGATCGTTTAGTTAGCAGTAGTTCCGGACCTCGGTCCGATGTAGTAGTTAGAGTTCTTGATGTCTTTTTGATTCAGGCATGTTTTGTGTTATGTGTTCCGGACTCCGGTCTGATGCAGTATGCAGTATATGTGTTCACGCTAGTTGATATGTTTATGCTATGTTATGTTCAGTCAGTTCTGGACTTCGGTCCGATGCAGGGGACAAGGTCCCAGTCAGTTCTAGACTTTGGTCCGATGTAGTAAGTTGCGGAATTCGATCCGATGCAGTCAGTTCCGGACTTCGGTCCGATGCAGTCAGTTCCGGACTTCGGTCCGATGCAGTTTTCGGACTTCAACCGATGCAGTTTTTGGATTTCGGTCCGATGTAGTGGGCAAGGCCCATTATGTGTTTTATATGTTCTTGTATTGTATGTGGGAGTTTGGAGGAGCTCACTAAGCTTTGTGCTTATAGTTTTAGTTTTGGTTTCAGGTACTTCCACAAGCAAAGGGAAGAGCTCGGGTTGATGGCATCGCACACACCACAACTTCAGTTTATCCTGGGAGTTTATTTTGGATGTTACTATGATTGATAAAAAAAAAATTTAACACAGTACTATGACATTTGAGTTGCCCATTTCGTGGTTTTATTATATATGATGTGATTTTTAGTATTATTAAAAAAAAAATTGGGGCGTATTTTGGGTCGTTACAAGCAATGTTGAGGTTGATTTCCTTCAACTTTTCATCAAGGACATACTCTTTGTATTCATAACGAGTGACCATTCGGATGTTTTGGATCCAATCCTTGACATTGGACCCCTCAAAGATCACTCTCCCACATAAGTTCATGAGTAAGAACGAGTTGGAGGAATTCGAGGCAGAAGCGTTGTTGTTGACGTTCATTATCTGAAATACAAAAGAGACAAAGTTTGATTAGAAATGAATCCCTAATTAAACACCCAAATGATAAATTAGGGCTAGTATCCAACAACATTATTTACAAATTAGAAGAGGGATGCCGTAATCTAACATGCAAATAATTTGAAGGTAAGGGAATGATGATTCACAAATTCTCCACCATGAAAAAGAGATTAAGTTTTAAATGTATTGAAAACTCCTAGATCTTTTGAGATTCATTGAACTTTTGATTGACATGTTTAAATCTCGATATGCCCCTCTAGTTTGTGATTGGGATGCCGAGGATCACAAAGTGGGTGTGAATAACCATGCAAATGTACATGGTGCCCTCATTGTTAAAGTCACCTATTGGATGTGCCGGTTAACCACACACGCTCCATTGAACTATGAAAAACAATGATTCATCCTTTTCCATCTTTACTTAGAGCCCAATTAGTGTGCATGTTAACCACACACGCTCCACTAACATCTTAGCAAGGGTACAAAGTGTAATTTTATGGAATTGCATCAATTACACTTATTCCTAAAGTAACTAAGATTGGAAATTTTGAAAAAGCAAAACATTTAGTTACTTTTATAATTCACTATACTTATTAATGAGGAAAGGGTTGCCTTATCCTACCCGTTTGGCTAACGACCCTCCACCAATCAAGGAAGCGGTGGGTGAGAGTGGACACCCATTAAACGACCATTTTATATGCCATAACCTTATACCCCCCTTATAGATCGGTTTCGTGAATGAGGCCTACTAACTAGAAGACTAGCATTTAAGTTATACATATATATATATATATATATATATATATATATATATATATATATATATATATTAATCTTGTAATATCATAATAGTATAAGGTGAATTTTACACTTGCAAAATTCTAGGGTTTGAAATTTAAATAATTCAAATTAAACTTTTAAGCAAAAGTTTTCAATTTCAAAACTTGAGGGCAATTTTTGAACTTTTCAAAACGCATAGGATCAAATAGCAAATAATTTAAAATTAAACATTTAATTTAATGATTATCAAAAGTTGACCTAATCCGTTTTATTTACAAGATAATTCATCAAATAATTTAAATAATCAAGTATTATCATATAAGGAATTTATTATTCAAATAAATGGTAATTATCTTTTGTTTTGGAAAGGATAAACAAATAACAACAATAAAATTCAGATTTTATTAGTCAAAAATGATTTTAGTAATTATCCTTAAGCAAAACGCAATAAATCCCAAAAATCGCTCTGTCTGACACTCCGACTCGCCGAGTCCCCTTATGGACTCGTTGAGTCCACATTGGGACTCGCCGAGTTCGCCAGGTAGATGACCAAAAAACATAGATTTTCAAGCAAGAATGAAACACAAAGAATCAAATACAATAGAAGCCAATCAAGGCTCTGATACGACTTATGGGTTTTACACAAAATAACATCCTATGTGCTCATGCAAACCCTAATGCTTGGATCTAGGCTTCTCTATTGTACATGCAATTCATCCAAGACTTGCAAACCCTAGATCTAGTGTATATAATTTGAAATTGACATAACAAAAAAGATATAGATGATTACCCCTTCTTGAAAGCTTGAATCTTCTTGTCCTTGGAGCTTAGAGTCAAAAATGTCACTCCTCTAATGACTTACAAACACCACAAGCATGAGGATGATCTTGGAGAGAGGTTGGAGGCTCTAGAATTCGGATCTTGTACTCTTAGAAGTAGGGTTAGCCAATTTCTGAACCCTAAGGGGTCTATTTATACTTGTGCTGCTAGGGTTTCAGTCAAAACCCTAATTAGATAGCTTACGCCTTAAGCAGTCCAAAGAACCTTCCAGATTAAAGGCCTTGGACAAAATTAGACGGACTCCCATTCTAATTTTTATCAACCCCTTAATTCCAAAGGATTCTTAGCCCAAATCAACTATCACACAATTGAAAGTTCCAGTTCCTTTTATTTAATTCTTAACCCCAAATTAACTATCACACAATGGACAGTTCCAGTCTCTTTTTGCCACATAATTAATTTTTAATTAATTATTGTCTAATATTAATAAAACTATATGATTTCTCCTTTAATATATTATTCATATAACATATTAATAAATAATAATAACCTCTTTATTCATAAATCACCCTATCATGTTGCTTTGGTAAAGGCAACCCAAAAGGACCATGCACAACCGGGTCAAATACTTACCAAATATAATTACAAGCTTAGACACTAATCCAACAGCCTGATGGCGAAGTAAGTTTGCAGAAATCTAGTGAAAAGAATAGCAATAGCCACCAACAAATCCACCATCTTCCATGGACTGCTAAAGTAGACGTTAATCTACTCTGCAACCCATGTCTTATACTTGTTAGTACAGTGTTTCTCAATGCCTTGTCTAAGCTAATTAAACATATAGAGATTAATCGTCGATGCCTCAATCTCATCCTACATCTTCACTACTTCATCTCTACCAAGACTATGAAGCAATATGGTGTTGTTTCGTAACTCCTTCACATAATCATGATGAATAACCAAAGATTGCATTGTAATCTTATGTAAGTTGAAACTCGAAAGTCATTAGGATTATGAGGGCACATTTTTAAAGCGTCATGTTCAAGTGAATAGCTTTAGAATTCGAGGACACTTCTCTGCACACAAGCTTAAGCGCACCATAACAACAATGTGAATGAAACTTGATGTCTTCATTAGAAGAATCGTCGTAAGTGCATTTCATAGAAATTCCTTTAGCTTTCAACTATGTAACCGATGCAAAAGACTGATTTCGGTTTGCACAATTCCAATCTTCATCAGCATTTTCTACCTTTTTCGTGCATGTTTTCCATTTGCCTACAATAATCAAACCAAGACTAAGAGAACACGAAAGCAAGATGAAATTTGACCTATAAAGCTCAAGAAGATGAAGTGGTTTCTTCTTCTTAAGAACATTTTCTTCCCTCGTGGACATTTCTCCATAGTTTAAGTAGTTAAAGAACTTGTTTAAGATCTCTTTACTTCCATCCGGGATTCTCAAATCCAACATAACTTTCAGTACTACAAATGGGATTTGGTTCTCGAGCAAGAAAATGTCTTGAGCTACGTGCGCGAAGCCTAATTTGCCAAAATACTCATTATTTAGTATCATCATATTGTTTTAGCTAGCAAGGCACTCTATAAAGAATAAAACGAAGCAACCCTCATGAAACATCATTCGATTAAACTGATCGTCGTTGTATTCATCTGTACAACCATCGATATAGCACTTTCTAGCATCATGTACAACTTTGAACACCTTGTTGTATAAGGAATCCATGGTGTTTTTGCACCTCGAACGATACTCCTTAAGTGTTATGAGCTTGTATTTCTCAGTTACAGTGAGGTCCTCTCGTTTATGATGCTAAGGACCAAGTGAAACTACTGCTGGCTCATAGTATTGGCGGTTTCTTCCACCTTTTTTGCCTTTTAAGAGCAATGGAGGTACTTTCTCGATTTGTCGTTTGCATTTTGAACGTTGGGTGGTCTTATTGCCTTGAATGCAGACTTTCCACTCCATCACAACATTGTCGTTAACGTTATCGAACCCTGGTTAATTATCCTGAATTTCAATTTTGACATGTTCGCTTTCGGACATTTCCGTCTCCATGGAGTTTGAAAAGTTCTTTTTGTTATGTGAAATTGAACCTATATAAGTTTATGGTCTAAACGATAATTTTGTTTCAATAAATTTAATTTTACTTTAGATGAATATATTTTTCACCAAAGGGGGACTTGTTTATCAGACAAAAAACAACTATTAATGGTAGCGACTTTTTAATATACCTTACTTACTATAATAATAATAATAGAAATTAAATATTTTTTTATATATTTTCATCATTTTTATCCCTCTATCCATTTTAAATGGTAAGAAATAAATTAAAATAATATTAATTATTAAATATGACATATTACGAAGATATTTAATTTAATCTCTATTCTAATAAAAAAAATTAAGGATTGCAACGGGGAGGGTTTGGGATGGGTTTTGGCAATCCCGTCCATGTCTCCGAATATGAAAATCAATATCATTACCAACCCGATTTCCAACGGGTACCCGTTTACCAAGCACTATTGGGTCTACGAGTATCCCAATGAGGTAACGGAGATCCCCATTTAACATTCAAATTTAGAATAATTTTGATGCAATGAGAATACAAAAAACTTAGAATTATGATGCAATCATAAATTCATATCCAAAATAATTTTGATAATTTACAAAACGCTTAAGAGCATACGTATTTTTTCTTATACATAACTGGTTACTAGTGGCAAAAAAAAAAAATAAAGACACTAGCATTCATAAACCGTAATATCACTATTACTCTAAGTACCATGAATAAAAAAAAAATATCAAAACACTAGCACTATAAAAATTATCTTTAAATCGTTCACAACAAAAAAGATAACTCGAGGATATATATATATATATATATATATATATATATATATATATATATATATATATATATATATATATATATATATATATGTGTGTGTGTGTGTGTGTGTGTGTGAACGGTTTCGGGTAATCGAGACGGGTATTTTGTTTACTATCTCGGTAACCAAACCCGCAAAATTTTTCTAAAAGCATACCAAACCCGATCCCTGCCCCGATTAACTGACCCCAAACCCGACCATAATTTGTCGGTTTTCGGTTTTTACCATCGGGTTCGGTTTCTTTTGTCATTCCTAAAAAAAATAGGTTGATTATCATTTTGCCATGTTTGAGCTTGCCATTATGAATATGCGTATATGTTTTTATGATGTTTTTTTTTGGTTGATGGCCATCAATTTTTCTATGGTGTTAGGGTATCCACTTCATTCTTTGTGTTTGTTTAAATGCTTAAGTTATCTCCGAACGAAAACAAACACTTAATTAGCCTTTGTTAGCTTTGGCCTTCTACATCTCCGGATGCCTTCTTTTCACTAAAAGAGCTCCCCTTTTTCATCTAAAAACCAACTTTTACTTCATGATTATTTATTGTAATGAGTTTGACACTAAAGGTTATTAAATAGTAGAGAAAACCAACCCATAAACCCTTATTATCTTATTACTTCCCTAAACACTGAGAATTCCTTAACACTCAACACCATAAAAAATGATTATTACAACTTCAAGATTCATAACATTGATACTAACCTGCACAATTTTTATCGAGGGTACCACAAGATGTTGTGTTAATAGGTGCCAAATGCTTTGTTATGAAATGGGTCACATGTTAGTAGTTATACCTTTATGCTAATCTTTCTGTCATCATTAAATGTATTTAATATCAATATTCTCATATTTGTATAACCAAAGGCTCAATTAAACGCCATGAATGAAGAAAAGTCAAAAGATATGAAGGTTGTGAAGAAAAAGTCAAAACAGATGGAAACAGACGGAGGTTTTGAAAATGTAGCAATTGGTTCTTTTTTATGATTAATGTTAGGTTTTATTCCATAATCATTTATAAGATTGAAGTCTAGTTTGCAATTACTAGCGAAGTGAAGGTTTTCGAAATCTAACAAATGTTTTTTTTTCCTGTTAAATGATACGATTCATTTTATGATTTAATGGTGTTGTGCAGTTATTATATGCAATTGAAAAGAGAAATAAAGATGAATTAATTCCATGAATTTCACATATGATTTAATGGTGATATGTAATTATTATACCTATTTTGTAAATGATTCACTTAAGTCCCTTGGACCGGATGGCTTAACCTTCAAATTTTTGAAAAAAATATTGGAACGAGTTGAAGAAGGATATCCTAGCATATGTAAAACATTTTGAACAATGGGGTAGTTTTTCACCAGGTTGCAATTCCTCATTTATAACACTTGCAGCAAAAGTAAAAGATCCACTTTCCTTGGGTGATTATAGGCCAATTTCAGCCTAATTGGATCTTTATATAAAATAATTGCAAAACTACTAGCAACAAGAATTCGTGCAGTGATTGGGGAGTGTATAGATGAAGTGCAAACGGATTTTGTTGAAGGGAGACACATCTTGGAGGGCCTCTCATTGTAAACGAGATTTGCTCATGGGGAAGAAAACCAACAAACAAATATTACTATTCAAAGCTGACTTCAATAAGGCTTTCGACTCCGTGAACTGGAGATTCCTGGATTCGATGATGCAGCAAATGAATTTTGGAATAAAATGGAGAGTAGGATGCAGGGTTGCTTAGAATCGGCCAGGGCATCGGTCTTAGTAAATGGATGTCCAACGACTAAATTTCAACTTGAGCAAGGCATCAGGCAAGAAGACCCCCTATCACCATTCATCTTTATCTTAGCTATGGAAGGATTAAATATCGCGTTAAAGGAGGCAAGGTCAAAAGGGATTTTTCAAGGAATCTCTATTCCCAACTATAATATCCAACTCTCCCATATATTCTATGCAGATGACGCCTTGTTCATTGGTGAATGGTCAAAGCAAAACATAAACAACTTGGCTAGGATTCTCAAATGTTTTCAAGTATCCTCCGGGCTGATTGTCAACTTCAATAAATCAAAGGTCTATGGCATTAATGTAGATCCACGTGAAGTTGAAAGATGGTCCTCACCGTTGGGCTACGAGTCGTGCTCACTACCATTCATTTATCTTGGTGTTCCTGTGGGAGAAAACATGAATCCTAAAAGTTCTTGGATGTCGGTGATAGAAAAAATCAACAACAAACTATCTAGTTGGAAATCGAAGACATTAAGCTTCTGTGGGAGAGTGACACTAGCAAGGTCAGTTTTGGGGAATCTTCGGATGTATTATTTATCAATTTTTGCACCCCCTTTAGGAGTGATTGAAAACTTGGACCGAATAAGGAGGAATTTTATATGAGGAGGGCCTAACAAGGCTAAAAAATTCTGGTGGGTGACATGGGAGAAAATAATCGCTCCAAAAGCGGTGGGTGGTTTAGGTCTTGGATCCATTAAAGCACTAAATTTGGCGCTATTATCAAAATGGAGATGGGAATTCTGCCATGAGAGAAGTACACTATGGGCGAGAATTATACACGGAATCCATAACCTTGATTCGGGGTTGCCAGCTCAGATTGCATCTAGATATTCAAGTGGTGTTTGGAAAAGTATTGATAAATGTAAAAGTACACTTGATAAATTGAATATTGCAGGCTCTGATATTATCCGGAGGAATCAAGCAGGAACTAGATGGGAATCAGACTTTCTAGTTGATGGGCAGTTCTGCGTTGCAGCCTTAAGGGAGAGGATTGAGCGGGCAGACCATATGATTCCAGATGGAGTATTCCAATGGAGCAAATGGATTCCAATCAAGGTAAGTTGTTTTGTTTGGCGAGCAAGAATGGACCGTATTCCATCTGCAATTGCTCTTGATAAACGGGGAGTACAGGTTCACTCTACACAATACAGTGCTTGTGTCTCCGGATTGGAATCCACTGATCACATGTTTCTTCGATGCCCGTTTACTGTTGATCTCTGGAACCGACTTTGGAATTGGTGTGGAATCACACCAATGATATTTTCTAGTATCAAGGAGATGTTAAATTATATTGCAATGACTGGACAATGCCTAAAACGCAGGACAACATTACTTTCAATCATTTGTGGTGCACTATGGGGTATGTGGCGAGCAAGGAACGATAGAATCTTCAATTCAAATTTCAATTCCTCAGAATTGGTGTTTGAAGGAGTTAGAGCAATGGTTCATGTTTGGATCAAACATAGACATAGAAAAGGAAACTTTGTTTGGGGGGAATGGCTTAAATCTCCTTTGTACTTTGTGTAATCTTTGATGTTGTAACTTTTGGCTCCCTCCAGCCCCTTGTTGGGGGGTTGCCTTTTAATAAAATTTGCCGGTTCCAAAAAGTTAATTAAATTATTTTTAGGTGATGATTCCTTTTTTAGGATTTAATCGTGCGGTTCTACAATTTAATGCATTTTTTAATGGAAAATAACATTTAATTTTTGAGGTGATTTTTAGCATCTTTTGAAGCGGTTTACTGTGACATCTCCATTTTCACGGCCAGAAAAGACCGATTTGTTTATGCTTTGTTTTAAAATCAGAGTAATCGTTTAAAGAAAACTGATGCGGAATTTGTTCCCAAAACAAAATGTGATAAGAATTTATCAAAGCATTTCTTTAATGAAATG